TATATATGTATGTATATATTAGGTTTCGGATTCCATCATGTACTAACAACTCCGATCTGCTGAACCATGAACCACTGAAGAGCCTTTCCGTTATCCGTGACACTCCTTCGGTATCATTTTTTTTTTGTTTGTTTTTTGTTTCCTTTTGCCTTGTCATGATGTTGATGTAAACATTTTTCTGTATAGTATGCATGGGGAAATGAAATTATTACATATGCCCATGAAAAATTTCGTTTGTTTATTTTACAGCACTTATCCCTTTATCTTAATTTCCACAGAACGGTATTGATGTGGTAGTCTGACAGTCAAACCAGCAGCCAAGCGATTGTTATTGACTCATTGCAGAGTACAGTACAGTGTACTCTGCATTATGGTAACCGGTCGCCAGCGAGCAGCGTTAGCTACTTTCAAAATAAAAGCGAATCAACTAATGCATGTACGTCAATGGTTTGGATTGAAAATAATTTCTGAGCGGTCGGGAAATGATAAATTCACCTAGGGAGAATGAAAACGGTCTCAGAATAGCATCAAGAAGTATTCTGAAGTCAAGTCAGCTTTGTTGTCAAATATGCTGTATGTGCAACATACAGCACAGATGACATTTATTTCCTCTCAACCACAGTGCAAACATGCAGTGCAAGTTGAGATAGAAAAATAAGTTCATGTTAACTTTACATCAATGACTAAAATTTCACTTGATTTAAAAAAAATAATAATAATTGAGAACAGATTTTTCGTTATTCCGGAACCAGATCAGGTCTAGGGAACACGAGCTTGCGACTTGGGTGTTTGGCCCCGTTTCGGTTCTTATATTTATAAACTATATGGCGATCGTGGTACATCAGCCGGCCTCGTTGGCGCAGTAGGCAGCGCGTCAGTCTCATAATCTGAAGGTCGTGAGTTCGAGCCTCACACGGGGCAGAGCACTTTTCTTTTTCCAGGGTCTGTTTACTTGCTTTATGAGAACCGCTTTGAATACTGGATGCATTGATTGATTTGTTAATGAGACACGTTGATTACGGCGTGTCGAATTAATCGGACAATCTGCTCAAGGCGGCCCCTGCTGGCCAAACTTATTCACTGCCATTAAGACCTTCAGGTCTCAGAAGGCCAGTAAGCGGGGGACACCCTGAACTGGTTGCGAGCCAATGGCAGGGCACACATGGTCAAACAACCACTCGCTCTCACACCTCGGGACAACATATATATATACAGGTATATATAAGCGTTTCCACATTTTTATGTATATCACTTATTTTGCAAGACTTTACAACACTGTTCAAAAATGTTACTGTAAAACTCAATCAATCATATTAAACACGCAGAACAATTTAGACAGAATCCGACAATGTGCATAAAAAAAAATTCTGTCGGCATCAAATACAGTACAGTGCATGAAATGGGAGTTTTCTTTTCGTCGCCTTTCTTGACGACGTGAAGGCAACGCCGCGACGTCACGTGACCCCAGAACGCCTTCCCCTTCCAGCAAAACATTGCTGACCAGAAACAGAAAGCACTTGTCAACAACGGAGCGTCGATCTCGACACAGCACCTCAACATCCGCGCGAGCAAACTCTCAAAAGTCATCCACCTTTCGCCTACCTGTCCAGCAGACAGGCCGACTCAATGCATTTCAGAGGACCGAAAACACCGAGGGGATCATGGACGGCCACGATTTGTTTAGTAGTTGCAGAAAGGGCGACATTTGTAGCGTCAGGTAAAGATCGTTGACCAGCGTACTCCTTCCAAGCGACTGATTTCTTCGAACCCTGACTGTAATACTTAGTACATGTACTGTATGAGATTTGAGCTACAGATGCTACTTAGCGAAACGATGGGTTGCTACCGTTAGCCAAGATGAGCTTGTTGGTAACCGAAGCTCGGTCGGCTCAGTTTGCTCATGCAACTCTCGTAAATTACTGCCGTGAGTGATTTGACGTCATTACACTCTCCAACTGATACAGATGTGTGACATTCTGCACGATAATAAAATGCAAATGGAGTAAAACATATCTGTTATCCAAACTAAATGATGGTAACACCAGCTACCGTCTGCTTTTCTGACCTCCCCGACCTTCCCCCCGATACGGTACATACTCCACATTTTAAAATGGCCTTTTTTTTTTTTTTTTTTTTTTTTTTGTACCACCAACTGCTTGCGTTTTGACCTGGTGACGTCATTACACTCTCCAACTGATACAGATGTGTGACATTCTGCACGATAATAAAATGCAAATGGAGTAAAACATATCTGTTATCCAAACTAAATGATGGTAACACCAGCTACCGTCTGCTTTTCTGACCTCCCCGACCTTCCCCCCGATACGGTACATACTCCACATTTTAAAATGGCCTTTTTTTTTTTTTTTTTTTTTTTTTTGCGAAACACCTAATGCTGCATTCTTGCAAGGTGGGAAGTCCGACTTCCGACTAGGAAAGATGCACCTGAACGCCCCGTTGATTTGAGACGTCCGAGTTGAGAAGTCGGGAAGAAAACGGACTTCCGAGTTCACTGACCGACTTCAGTATGACGTCACTAGGCAACGGCGTGAATGGCAAAATAATTTGGAAGATGTTAAACATATGTTTAGCTTCATTTATTATTACATTAATTTAGTCATTCAAAATAACACAAGGGGGTCCGTACGAACTGCGTGAAAATATGCCGTTATCTCCTTACATGAAGCTTTTTGGTGAAACGAATGACATGTTTTGAAGAAAGGCTATTCTTTTATTGATATAAATGAAGGTAATTATGAAGAAGGTTCGCTGGAGGTCAGAATGTTATTGAAATGAACCCGAAAAACAGTTGATGGAGTCAGCCATCTTTGTCGTTTGCATTCACCTCCAACGCTTAGCGGTTGAAACTGAGGGAATCCAAGGGGGATATGTCCGATTTCCCACCTTTCCCGAATGCGGCATAAGGCACACCTGTGCAATAACTATCTCATCAACGAATCGATATGCCACGCCAGTACATTGGAGGGATTCTTTTTGAGCAATTGACACAGATTTGTGAACGCTATTGAAGAGCAAATCAACATTTTGTGTACCCATTATGGTACATTTCTACATGTGACTTGTTTCATTGTAATTAGTGTCTGGCGGACAATGTAGGTGAACTTCAGTAAATCAGGAAAAGGCTCTAAAATATGCGATACCAAGCAGTATGAAGTGGTCAAACGACTTGAACTGAGATTCAGTCCCAGTTTCTCCGCAACAAAACTGGTTCTGCCTGGTTACTCCTGTTTTCTTGAAAGAATGTCATCTGTCTTCCAAATTCCGCCTTGGTGTGGACACGTAAGAACACGATTCTATCATGACAATGGGATGCACGGCCAATTGGGTATAGGAATTGTGAAGATGTAATTCTACTTGACTGCTATATCATTTTCAGTTTTGACAACTTGATTAGGCTAAAATCCAGTTTTGGAAAAAAAAATCAAACGCAAATTAAGAATGAAAAAAAATGCTCCTCTCACCACTGAATATACATCTCCAAAAAAACATTACCGTCAGCCATTTGAAAGCATTTTGACTTTTTGAGAGCTCTATGTTCTTTGTGTTGTGCTCGGTTCACGCCAGCATTCTTGAGTCATATTACTTTATTCTTATTCTAAGCCGCTGATTTTGTGTCTCCTAGATATCTCGTTGAAGAGCGAGACGTGGACCTCAATGTAAGAGATAATTGGGACAGCAGCCCCTTGTAAGTAGCATTCTTTGGGCTTCACAAAAAAAAGTACCAAGGATGATTTCCCCTTTCCGACCCGACCTCTCTTTTGTCTGCTAGGTATTATGCGTGTCTCTGTGGCCACGAGGAGCTTGTCCAGTACTTGCTGGCAAGTGGTAAGGGTGGGGGGGGGGGGGGGGGGGGTGACGCAGCATTTCAGAAAACCATCCTTTTTTCTCCTTCTTATTTGGCGTGTAGGTGCCAAATGCGAGGCCAACACGTTTGATGGCGAGCGGTGCCTGTACGGCTCGCTGAACGACTCGATCCGACGCCTGCTCAAAGAATACAAGTGTGTCGGTGTTCGCGCCATGAAGCGGCATGATTTTAACTACTTCCTGCACTTGTAAGCTTCCACCTTCAAGTCGTTTGCCGTTTGCATCGTACTGTGCCTTTACCTTTTGGTCCTCCTGTCTGCAATTCCAACGCCACTCGAAACAACACGGCGCCGATTTCGTAAGCGTGTTTCTCACACGAGCAGGGTTGTTTGCCGTTTGCATCGTACTGTGCCTTTACCTTTTTGG